TACTCGTTTTTTACCTCCCACCATATATCAGGAAACCCACTGCAGCAGAAAATGCCACCACTGGAAATAATAAAGAAAAAAATTACTATGCCTCCATAAACTAGAATGTGGAAGCCAAAAGGTTCCAGTTGAAATGGACATCGATTATACATCACATTTCTAATGTAAATAAAATATAGTATTTGCTTTAGATGTAAGAGAGAATGCAGGTTTCGAGCTGCAACCTGAAAAGAAGAGCTTGGCAGCTATAACTGCACCAGGAGATTGGTCTAACATCACAATAATCCAAATGCAGATCTAAAACACGATGACAAATAAAATAATTGAATAAAGCTGAATGTAAACAAATCGACCAAATCAGTGCATTCTGTGTTTCATATAGTACTGACAAGTGACAACTTTTGGCTGACACCTTTTACTTCACCTGTATAATGTACATAACTCCGTTGATGATACAGTAAGTAGGCTTCAGCTTACGAATAGGAAGACTTCGTGCCTGAAAGAAAAATAATCACCAATATGGATTGCCAATGATGAATCTTGCGTAGAATTGATATAATATGTAATATAATATTGTTCAGATTAAAGAATAACCATAATAACAAATTACCTGATGGTATATCTCTGCCCAAAATAAAACAAGCAGTGTGTACGTTGAAAAAAATAGAAGTCCAGGAATCTCCATAACCACCATTTCAAGAACCTTTACCAGCATGAAAGTTTCAAGCCGTACAGTCGAGAGAAAATAATCGCAGTTACAACATGGGAAAAGGAACGTGGGTTTCTCTGTATATCTAAATTATCAATTTTAAGTCTACAAATTGACTTGCTTTTTTTATATGGGAATATGATGCCCTGCTGACAGTGGATGATGATCGGTAACAAAACTACATAATGAAAAGAATCTCTAAAAATGCCATGGTCTCCCAGTATCTGAGGGGGGAAGAAATCCTTGGATTATTATGCCTTACAGTTTAACAGAAAGCACAATGCTTTTATTTGTTTATGTTTACTTATTCATTTCACCATCAGAAACCCTTCTGGATGTCTCATAGTTCTGAAATAAATAAACTTGCATATGGTATTACCATAAATACAAAAACAAATAATAAATAATAATAATAATAATAATAATAATAATAATAATAATAATAAATAATATAATAATAATAAATAATCAACTTGTGCATGAATAGCTGTTACTAGTATTTCTTTCTATTCTTCCTTGTCTTCTGTTTAAGTATCATGATATGTTGAATATTCTAGAAATATTCTGAAAAAACGTGCAACCTAATAACAAAGGGGAGATGCTTGTAATAAGATCAATCAAAAGTTTTAGTTTAGATTATCATGCTTTTAACTCTTATATAATCCCAAAAGAATATCAATATGAGGCCTAAAAATACTCAATCATTAAGTGATAACCATGGCTTGAATAGGACATTAAGAGTTTAAGACGATCATAGTTGGCAATAGTGAATTAATATAAGAAACCAACCTTCGGTCTAATGAGGAAGACACTCTTATAAAGCCCAAAGATAATAGCCCTCACTGTCAAAATGAAACTAAGGTAGCATTACCTCATCAAATAGAATATCAAATACGAAAATAAAACTAACAAATATACAATCTTACATCCATTTACAATGAAATTCATCAAATGGAACCCCTTTTGTGTTGTCCACTCGAATTCTGGCACTCTTATTTGAATCCGAATAAGTTGAACCTGAAAACTTGAGCAATTACTCTACGTATTAGGCATTAATTATGACAACAACATGTTGTGTTCTTTTCCTCAACACGGCCAATTAAGTTAATTTAAGTTCCTTTGTTTTTTTCCTAATCAGAAACCAACTAGCTATATCATAAAAGGGCTCCAATCAAAGAGAACTATGCCTAAAGAACAGTTATGAAATTCCTTTGATAGCGATGCCCAAAAGGAATTATTAAATCTAATTCACCAAATTTGGCTGTTGACTTGATACATAATTAATTGAGTTTGCCAGACCCATACATATACTCTAGTGTCGGTCTTGTTTCCTAACCAACGTGTGATAGCTATATTGAGTTTCCATAAAAGATCCAAATCCAATGCAATTCAATGAAATTTTATTCTTGAGATTACAAAACAATTTTTGTAATTAATTGATCACTCAAAATTACCGAAGGATTAAATCCCAACTCATATGAGTGTGGAACTCAAATTAATATCTAAAAATTAATCTAGAAAATCAGTTCTTCTAACCATTTTTGTTAGCTCACACATACAGCATAAGCACACAGCACACCCACAAATCTATTTTAGTTTAAAACCTAATAAATAAATAAATATGAAAGAGATATCACAATTCTGTCGATTTGATGATACATGAGAGTGCAATGTGGAAGATAGATTCAATCCATCAGGTAGGAAGCCATGTTAATTCCAATAAAAAGAAGAACTCAGCCAAAAAAAAAAAAAAAAAGGTTAAAAAAAGCATTAAATCACTCATGAATTTTGCAAAACACAGAACAAAAACACGGTAAGGATTAGAGAAAAGTGGAGTACTAAGGCAATGATCGATAGGAGGCCATAAGAGGAGGACAAGGCGGAATAAATCCCCTTCTGCCATTGCTCCGATTCATCAATTCCATTCCACCATTCCAATCCCTCAACCGCCAAGCCGGTCGCCAAAGCCCTCGTCATTAGAGCTTCAAAAAACGGAAAAAAAAGAAAATCGCAGAAGGAGAAGCCTTCTTGTTCTTGGTTAATGCCGCACGAAATGGAGCAGGGGAGAAGCTTTCTTCGCCATTAATGCCGGGCGCGGCTACGAGAGAGCGTAATTTGGTCTATGAGAGAGAAATCTGTGACACGTGGACGGCTTTTCACTTGTCTTGTGGGAAACTTAATGACACGTATGATAATATGACGTGGATTAAAATATGATATCATTATCGGGATATTAATTTTAATTTTAAATTTCAAAATTATTTTTCAAATACTTTTAAATTTGTCTTTTATTTAAAAAATAATTATTATTATTTTAAAAATTTGTAATATTTTTTCCTAACTCATTACCACACATTTTATTTAAAATTTTACATAATTTTGAAAATTTTATTAATGGTAATATTGATAATATAAGTAATTTTTTAAATAAATAACAAAATTTTAGGGTACTTTTTAAATTAAAATTTATAAATAATAATTCAAATTAATTTATTTTGAGTATGAGACGGTAAGTCCGATGGAAAGTGGTGTTTCCAGTGGCGGACAAGTGAGTAATGCGTAAAAACATGCTCTTGGGAGGGGGAACAACGGCTGAAGATGGCTACTAATACCTCGTACGCTAGGGAGAAAAAGAAGGAATCCGCCCGAAGAAGGGCTCGTGTCTAATTAGCTAGTTGGTGAGACAATAGCTTACCAAGGCGATGATTAGTAGCTGGTCTGAGAGGATGATCAGCCACCCAAATTCTTACTGGAGACAGTAATTAGGGGTGTACATTCAACCCGGCAACTCGACAACCCGGACCAACCCAACCCGAACTATAAGGGTTGGGTTGGGTTGGATTAGCATTTCGGGTAGGGTTGGGTTCATTTTTCTGAACCCGAACGGAATCGGTTCGATTTCGGGTTCATGGGCAAAACGCTCGGGTTGACCCGAGCCAAATAAAATATATATTAGTATTAGGAAGATTGTTTCATGTTAATGGGTTTGCCAGAGTGGTATTGAGTTAGTCCATGAATATTTACACCCGAGTTCTATGTTTCCGGTTTTGTTATTTTTAATTTCTTTGTTTTGTTTTGTTTATATTATAACTTATTTTAAAATAACTTAATATTTCGTACTCTTTTTAAAACACATCAGAATAAATTATAATTAACTTATTCTTTTCAGATATATATATTTTTTTTTTGTTACTTTAACTAAGTAGGTTTATGGTTTTGTTATTTTTATTTTCTTTGTTTTGTTTATATTATTTTATTATTTAATTTCTTTGTCTTTGTTCAATTTTATTTATATATATATATATATATTTTAAAATACCTTAATATTTCATACTCCTTTTAAAACACATTAGAATAAACTATAACTAACTTATTCCTTTTGTGATCTAGTTGTATTTTTGTTACTTTAACCAATCCTAAAAAATGATATTTAGTTGTCTTTAGTTTTATGATAATATTGAATTATGTTATTATTATTTTTTAATTTTTGCTCGTTATTTTTTATTTATTTATTATTATTATTTTGCCAATAATTATAGATTGATTTATGTTTGTTCGAGAACTTTTAATATATTTTATTTAAGATTGTATTCTTTTTAAAACACATTAGAATAAACTATAACTAACTTATTCCTTTCATGATCTACCGTTGTATTTTTGTTACTTAAACCAATTCTAAAAAAATGTCGGTTTAGTTGTCTTTAGTTTTATGACAATATTGAACTATGTTAATATGTTACAATTTTCGCTCGTTATTTTTTATTAATTTTTTTTTGTCAATAATTATAGATTGATTTAGGTTTGTTTGAGAACTCCTAATATATTTTATTTAAGATTATATCCGAATTAATTATAGATGGTGGATAAATAAAACTTAAAAATTTTTTTTGACAACCCAACCCGAAAATAGAGGGTTGGGTTGGGTTGTGAAAAATTTTGGGTTGGGTTGGGTTACCAATCCAACCAACTCGAACTTTTGGGTTGAGTAAAAAAAAAATCTCCCAACCCGATCCAACCCGGACCATGTACACCCTAGCAGTAATGGAGAATTTTCGGCAATGGGTGAAAGTCTGATGAAACAATGTCTGATGGAGGTAGAACACCTACGGTCGAGACTTTTTAAGTTTGTCGAAACACACTACTCTTAAAAAAGCATGCATTCCATATGAGTTATGGCCAGATGATTATGACTATGATCAACATGGGTGTCTATACAATGGAGTCCAATCGACTGATGGGTATAAGTCCCTTTATTGAAATCACCACGTCGCCAATCTGGTGGCTGGAGAGCTGAGACATTGGCGTCGCCAGCTGCAATGCACGAGGGTGGGGGTTTTGCGAGTGCATGGAGCTGAAATGGAGTGTGGCTGAGATGGGTTTCTTTCATGGGCCATGAGTAATTGGGTAGAGACATGGGCTTAAATGGGTAATGGGTATTAGACATGAGCTTGTACGAACTGAAGACCGAATCAAATTGATCGGTTTAAACCTTCCTAAAACCCTCCGTTTCTTCTAATTTCCTCATTCATTTTGATTCTCAACCCCAATCAATCTGCTCCGATTGCGATTCATGTCAAAGCCCCTAAAGTTCATGCAATCCAATGCTTCTAACCCCAAACTCTGGATCCTGATCGGGGTTAGCGTCGCCGGAATCGTAATTTATGCAGAGACCCGAAGGAGAAGAAATGGCAAAGTGTTGCAGAGAGAGGACTTTGGTGCCTTCGTCCATCGTTTTGAGCTTAAACCTTTCCCTCAGCCGCCGCCGCCCGCCGCCAGACTTCCCCTTACCGGCCTCATTTTCGCCGTCAAGGATGTGTTCGTATTCTTCCTTTTTCTCTCTGCGATTTCTTGTTTCTTAATCTCACAGGGGTTTGTGTTCTTGATCGTTTGATTTTGTGGGTTGCTTTAGATTCGACGTGAAGGACTATGTGACGGGGTTTGGCAATCCGGACTGGAAGAGGACTCATGATGTTGCTGAGAAGACCGATGGGGCGGTAACTCTTCTGCTCATGAATGGGGCTGCTTGTGTTGGGAAGACTGTTATGGATGAACTGGGTTTTGGGTAAGCCGGTGTTCATATTCTCCCAGTAAATTTGTTTGTCAATGTTCTTGAGGTGTTTGTTTGATTGTTCATTTAGGATTACTGGGGAGAACAAGCAATATGGAACTCCTACCAATCCAAAGTTTCCATCATTTGTATGTGGAGGTTCTTCTAGTGGGTCTGCCGTGGCTGTTGCAGGAGAGCTTGTTGACTTTGCTCTTGGTTAGTATAGTTTCCATTTCTTTTTATAATGTATTGCTAAATTTTTTAGTGAATAGGCAATCCAATCCGAAAATAGATACATATATATACATACATATATATATATATCTATTTCTCGATGGGGGCAAGGGAAGAGATATAATTCAGTAGTAGAGTGTCGCCTTGACATGGCCCGGAAGTCATCGGTTTGAGCTTGATTATCCCTAAACTCAATGTGAGTTTTTCTATTTTTACTTGCTCCCCTGCTGTGATCGAATGAGAATGGATAAGAGGCTCATGGGATTGACGCGAAGGGGTGGGAATGGCTATATTTTTGGGAGCGAACTCTAGGTGAATATGAAGCGCATGGATACAAGCTATATATATATATGTATATATTGATGCAGTGTGCACGTAGATAAGGAAAGCCAAATCCCTGAGGGGGGCTGGTACCTTTCTTTTACGGCCTAAATTCCTATTTGTTAGCCGTGGGGAACTATTGCTTGATAGGGAAGAGGCGAAAGGCTTGGGTCTACCTATCCCGATAGGACCTTATAAAGGAATGAGAGTGAGAGGTTCCATATTGCAGAGCCGAAGGGCAGCACTTTTGTATGTGATCGTAGTATGTCACCTCGTCTCGTCCCCGTACCACAACATTTCAGAGTATCTATGATATATATACAAATCTATATCTCTCTCTCTATATAAATTGGTGCACTTTCTTTATAAGAGCATTAGAATGTTCTCTTAAATGAAAAATCTTGACTCTGAGAAGCATTTCCAGTTCAAGTCTGTTTCTGTTTTAGTATATACGAGGCTCGCCAGTCTAGCAAGATACAATCTCATAACGAAGTAATTTCTTATATTTTAGGCACTGATACGGTTGGTTGCATCAGAATTTCAGCTTCATTTTGTGGTATATTTGCATTTCGTCCCTCTCATGGAGTCGTACCAATGAATAGAGTTTTGTCGAATTCGCCGAGCTTGGATACTGTTGGTAAGATGGCACATCAATTGACATTTTTCATCATTTTTCTATCATCGATATTCATTCGAGTACTTTTTGTATGTCATCGTTAAGGATGGTTTGCTCGTGATCCATCCATTCTACATCGTGTTGGGCATGTTCTACTCAAACTGAATTCAGTAGAACCTCGAAGGATGCGACGCCTTGTTTTTGCTGATGATCTATTTCAGCTTTCCAAGGTTCCTTTGCAAAAGACTGTTCATGTCGTTAAAAAGGCTATAGAAAATCTATCTGGTTGTAAGTTTCAGGACCGTTCACACGTATTTCCTAACGAAGCTCTCAGTTCAAGTGCTTTAAAGATTATTTTAGGTTTATATTGATTTTTTGAGCTTTTTGCATCTGCAGATCAGTCTCCAAAACACATGAACTTTGGTCAGTACTTGGTGTCTAAAATCCCGAGCCTGAAAGAGTTCCTTCAACAACCCCCGAACTCGCAAAAAGGAATTTCTATTTTCAAAGCTTTGTCATCTGTTATGATTTTATTACAGAGGTAAGCACAGGTGATCCTGACTACTTATTTTTTCACTCTACATGTCAGTCTACTTATGGATTAAGAAGCATAGTCGCGTATATATTACACCTATATTTCTTTCGATAAGATCGTCGCCCCTATATTTCATGAAGCACATACAGACATTGGATGCTGCTCGACTTCCCACCCGATACTATTGCGGGTTATCATCCTTTTGTGTATGCACCATAGTGAAATCAACTTTTGTAATATTTATTTATTTTTCATCTTAACCTTTTGTTTCCTTTATTTTCTTACATATAGATAATTGCATTTTTTTCCGGGCGTTGCACCTAAAATTGTGCACATGTGTGAGATCCCACATCGGTTGGGGAGGAGAACGAAACACTCTTTATAAGGGTATGGAAACCTCTCCCTAGAATACGCGTTTTAAATCCCTGAGGGGAACCCCGAAAGGGAAGGCCCAAAGAGGACAATGTCTGCCAGCGGTGGACTTTGGTCGTTACAACATGATGCGTGTCAAATGACATGCTAATTTTCGTGTTGCGTGAAACCATGTGATCCATTATAAATTCTCAAAATTTAGAAGCGTGAGGGTGAGAAATAGCTGCAATAGGACGAACCCGTTACTCTTTACTTTAAACTGAAAATTATTAGGCTTCTCCATATTCTTTCGGTATGTCTGTTGTGTTGGTGCTGTACATTACGTATGAAATATTCGATACTAAATAGTAATAGAGCGAACATCTCATTTTGGTCTTTGAGTCACGTCGCTTGATGGAATATTGGAAGTGCCGTAGTCAATGTCGATATCATACACTCCTAGTATGAACGACTGTCGGGATTACTCAATGGTGACCTTTTCTTTCACTGTTGAACTGTAATTGCTACATAATGGTGGCTGTTAAAATGCATAATTGTCGATATATTAGCTACATTGTATGTTCGATAACATGTTCCATCTTCAAATTGTTGTTTTCTTTCAGGACAATGAACCCCTACTAATGAATCTGTTGTGGCATGCACTTTTCAGATGCGAATTTAAAATAAATCACGAAGAATGGATTAAGTCGGTCAAACCCAAGTTAGGATCTAACGTATCTGAAGATGTTCTTGCAGCAATTAAAACATCTTATGATGATATGAAAACGCTTTATAAAGTCAGAACGGAGACGAGACTTGCACTTCAAAGTTTATTAAAGGTATCCCCAATTCATTGTTGTGTACCTTGAAATGAGTGTATGTAAATATGAATCTTTTGCAGCAATTCTAATATTTTGCATTATAAAATACGAGGAATTCTCGAGTGTTTGATAAGAAGACTTCCCTTATTATTGTGATTTTGTACTATTTATGTGTTAGGATCGCAAAATAATGCACACACTCGATCTAGATGAATACAAAAAACAGGAGACAGGCTAAAGGTTTACATTTGATGACTTCAACTATCTACAGTAATAGAGAATACACGGTCTAAGGGGATATGTATAGTTTTACGAGATATAACCATCTATATATAACTATCTACCATATATAGGTTTACCAGATATAGCTTTTTACTTTACGTAGTTGTTTATTATATATGACCATAGACTCCATAACCGAACATTATGACCACTCACGTGGTTGTTGGTCAGTAATTCTTAAAATAATTATTTATGTACGCTAAATTATCTGTTTTTATTCACTCTAGGATGATGGCATATTAGTAATTCCCACAACTGCAGACCTCCCACCAAAGCTAAGTACAAAGAAGGGAATTTCTTCGGAGTTTCGTGATAGGATATTTGCATTATCAAGCATTTCAAGCGTGTCTGGTTGCTGTGAAGTAAGTTAACAATCTCGTTTCAGTTATTTTCTGTCGACCGCTCGAAGAGTGACATGTTATTGTTGTTATAACATCGTATTGTCAGGTTGTTGTTCCTTTGGGAAGGCAGGATGATTGTCCCATATCCATTTCACTTTTAACATTCCATGGTGCTGATAAGTTTCTTCTAGACACAGTCTTGGATATTTTCTCAGCTCTTCAAGAGCAAGTCAGTATAGCGTCTAACAGTTCATCGCCATTTGCTGATACCAACGGCGACATGGATGCCTCTGAACTATTGAAAGAAAAGGTTTGCCTCTATTGTCGATGCGATTAATAATGTCCGTCTTGATTCTGCCATGATGATGTTATTTGATGTGAAGTAGGTTCTTATTCAAGAACTCATAAGATCCTTTTTGCTAAAATTTACAGTTTCTGATTTAATTAAAAGATCAATTTGTTTTTCTCCTCTGCTTTTAAAAATTAGTGGCTGGTCAATGAAAAATAAATGTGATTCAACATCAGACGAGTAAGAAACGTGTAGTAATTTCCCGGGGATCCGGTGAAAGTCCTAGGTGAATCAGTAACAGTTCCAGATTTTGATTTCAGGCATAAACCCTCGAATTACATACCATAAAAAAAATAGTTTCCACCTTTTCGATCTACTCAACTGGTATTTCGATTTTCACTTCTTGTACTCCCTTTCGAGGGCCAAATTTGTTCTTTCGTGTTCATATACTGATTCTGCGGTTATGTTCGTCACAAATTTTTGAGCTTTGATATTGGAAATATTGCTCAAACATTATGTAGTTGCAGGAGATTCTTCATGAAGTGAGGGCTCGTATAATCGCCATCTTCGTTTGCTTTCGCTTTGTTCGTTCTAAAACATCTGGGGTTGCCTGTTTTTCATTGTTCATTAAAAGTTGACTAGCTTACATGTTCGAATACATTGTTATTGTTGATTAACATACTCAATTTTCTTAGTTGAACAGTTTACTAAAACAAAAGGAATGATTTGCAGGGCAATGCAGCTTTTAAAGGAAGACAGTGGAATAAAGCTGTTAATTACTATACAGAAGCGATTAAATTAAACGGGACGAATGCAACTTATTATTGCAACCGAGCTGCCGCTTACTTAGAGTTAGGCTGGTATGTTACCCACAAATATTTCAGTCAGCTATTTACTTATTCTACTTGGTGTGTACTGAATTCATCAATTACTTGAATTTCAATACATGTAGCTTTCAACAAGCTGAAGATGACTGCAGCAAAGCCATATTACTTGATAAGAAGGTAACTATCTGATTCATACTTGGCTATATAGAAAAACAACCAAACACACACAAACATACATTCAAAGGCAAAAACTTAAAGAAAGCATTACAAAAAAGGCCAAATATCAATGAACGGAGACGAAGGATATGAGATCCCTCATCGGTTGGGGAGGAGAACGAAACACTCTTTATAAGGGTGTGGAAACCTCTTCCTAGTAGACACGTTTTAAAAACCTTGAGGGAAACTCGAAAGGAAAAGCCCAAAGAGGATAATATCTGCTAGCAGTGGGCTTCGGCCGTTACAAAGGATAGTTATGAAACTTTCTAGTCACTGACGGCCAATTGAAGGTGTTTTACCAAGCCATGGACCCGAGCGGCGGTCAATGCAAGAATTGAAGACTAAAACTTCAATTATTATTATAAAATTTATTCATGGGATAGCTTCCAGATATGTTTAGACTAAAACTTCCAGCAGGTTTCCTTTTATTATTGCTGTTGTTGCTGCTGTCTCTCTTAATTATTATTATAAAATTTATTAATGGGATAGCTTCCCGTGATGATATACTCTGTTACTATGTAGTGTCACAATCGTATTCTTTCGACAGTGGAACAGCGATTGTACAACATTTGTTCTAACTCTATGAACAAGTCAGCCGTGAAAAATTCGGATTTTGCGGACAACGTCGGCATATGCTCAAGCGTTGAGTCACGTTTGCGAGAAATATTTTAAAAAAATGTGAGCGGGGAAATACATTTGAAAACAATTTGAAAAAATTGAAGAATATAACGTTATATGGCTATAAGTAAAGGCTATAAGTAAAGAAAGAAACACGACTTAAATAGCATATAACTCAGAGTAGGAAGAATTGATGACTAGTCACATCCCCATATAGTACATTTTGGGGCATTTTAGCGGGTGCAGACATGATTTTGGTGACAGGTCATATACCTCCGTATTGACACAACATGAAATAGTAAAAGTCTATCTAAGATGAAAGCATGATAAAAGGGGTTTGGAACGGGCATGCGACTATAGACAACACGTTCTAGACAAGCATGACCGGGACATCCGACATGCGGCCATAAGCAACATGCCTTGGACAAGTAAAGCCTTTGATTTGAGCAGAAACGTATAAATAATTCATTTTGGGTTGAAATACTCTGTTGCTATGTATGCTGGGCTGGGTGTTTTTAGTCGTTAAAAAACGATCGATTTATCTTTACGTTAGACAATCTGCAAAAGAGATGATGATATTCTTAACGTTTCGTTTCTTCACGCAGAATGTGAAGGCGTATCTCAGACGAGGAACTGCCAGAGAGTCTCTTCTTCTCTATAAAGAAGCCATCAAAGGTGAGATGATTTTTATCACTGAAATATCTGAAGCTGCATTGTTTACGTTTCTTTGCATGTGAACGTATGCGTATGCCTTGACGTGAACATCTTGCTCAATCGATTAGGATTATGTAAACAACTTCAGAGAAAAATTATATAAACATAGTATTAGATTGATTTTGTGCATCTAGCAGACCTTTTGGCTATCGTTAAGAACCCTGAAATTTCGAGATAGATTTGAATAATTGACACAAATCGACCTCGGAAAAGAAAACGTGGATGTGAAGTTTTGTCATTATAGACTAATGGTGGTTTCAGAACTGGCCATGGAATGCTTGCCTTTATATAGACGAGAGTGTTTTCTCTGTTAATGAAAGCGTGTTTCGGTGCCCGTTCGATAAATATTTGCTTTGGTTTCTCATACTTTTGCAGATTTCAAGCATGCTCTCGTCCTCGAACCGCAGAATAAAGTTGCGAATCTTGCCGAAAAGAGATTAAGAAAACTGATCAGTTGAGGATGCAATTCTCGTATCGAAAATGAAAAGAAAACCCGAAAACGAATAGCAAAAAGAAACAAAGCCAAGCTGATAGAAGCATTGTAATTGTGCATTGTCAAATGAAAATAAAGAGTAGAGCTGGAAAGGAGTCAGAGCCCAGCGGCAGCTGCCAATTTTGTGAGTATATATTTAAACTTTAGTGAACCTTAGTTTGGCACAGGACCATGTGGAATTCTTTTATCCATTGAACCGTGTGGGAAGTTTCAATTCTAAATTTGGGTGCTTGTTCTGTGTTGTGAAAATATTCTCTTTTTGATCTTTTTTTGAACCTGTTCACTGTGATCATTTAGGTTGATTATTGAGAGTTTATAAGGAGGAATAACTCAAAGATATTGTTCTCTCGGGGCTCTTCCTTTTCGGGCTTCCCTTCAAGGTTTTTAAAACGCGTCTGCTAGGGAGAAGTTTTCACACCTTTATGAAGAATGTTTCGTTCCTGTCTCCAACCGATGTGGGGTCTCACAATCCATCTCCCTTTGAGGCCCAATGTCCTTGCTGGTTCACTACCTGGTTGGAAAGAGAGACAAGTGCTCGCTAGAACGTTGGGTCCCGAAGGGAGGTGGATTGTGAGATCCCACATCGGTTGGAGAGGGAAACAAATCATTTTTCATAAAGGTGTGGAAGGAGACGATTTTTAAAAACCTTGAGGGGAAAGCCCAAAGAGGACAATATCTACTAGCAGTGGGCTTAGGTTATTACGAATAAATTTACGATTTTTTTCCAGCTAAACACCTTGTTTCATGACTTGATTTCGGGTGAAAAATTCTTGTATTATGCCGAAGTTTTAATACCAACCAAAAGAGGACAATGAATACTTGAAATACTCTATTCTATAGGTTGTATAGTTATGTCTTTTGAGTTCGACGTTCTATAGGTTGTACAATTGTCTTTGAGTTCGAGGAGACGATGAAGACGTTCTATAGGTTGTATGGCTGTGTCTTTGAGCTCAAAGGAGACAATTAAGGCATCTTTCGGCCTCTTTTTGCAATATTATTATAAATTTTTAGTTCAACATCAGTTAGCGGTAAAGATTTGAATATTTAACTTCTTAGTTGAGGATATATGTCGTAATTAGTTGAGTTATGTCGGGATAGATAAGTATTTTACTATTTTATATATACTTTTTTTTTTTGGTACCTTCTTCGAAGGGAAAACAATAAAATTAATTGTTAAGGTTGGAAAATCGTGATCGTGATGTTTTTTTTTATGAGATTAAGGTTAATAGCTATACGTCGTCAATCTATGTTTTAAAATTTAAAATATAAATTACAATCTCAATCTAACGAAGTAATTAATAAATATTAACTTCACCTAATTTCAACCAAGTTAAGTTATTACAAGTAATTAGATATTTTATTACAAAACAGTAATTAGATATTTGTTTAAAATGAAAATTTCCCTATAGGAGAGAGTTAGAGTTTCCTCTCTAAACAATTTCAAATTATTTTTTAGTAGGAAAAATCTAGAGTTATAATGTAAATATTTTCTTGTGCACGTCAAAGATCTCTGATGATGAGAGTCGAGGTTCCTGCAAAAAACGAAAAAAACGTAAAAATTAGCATGAAAAAACGAGAGGACCTTCTCGATGGTAAATACTCTCGATTGCTATTACATACTAATATTATAGATACACCGACACCCTTTGATATTTTAGCTGCCCTGTTCCTTCTAGGACGGTCAAATCTACAACAACCACTAGTCCAATTGGTTCGTAAACAACAATAGTACACATTTGAGTGAGAACCTACGGGAGAAGCTGGCTTGTGGCCGACAATTTTGTAAGGTTGAATGTACGAGAGAAATATGGAAAAATATATAGAGTGGTTATTAGTGTTATATAAAATTTTGAGTTCACATCGGATAGTTATTATAAAACGGTCGTACAGTGACGACCTCATTAAATAACATTTCCACGCTAAGAGTCTTCTCATAACAATGTCTTAAGGATATTCAAGTAAATTCACATTCGTGACGTGTGTGAGGAAGGCGGTCATCAAGAGGAAAACGAGAAAGAAATAAAAAAAACTCGACACTTTGACCAAAGGCTTGTTGTTTAAGTTTGAATATTCATATCAAGTTCAAGAAGTCAATTTCGAATGTCCTAATAATTGAATTGTGTATAATTCATTGGTTTTTTTACGAGCAATCGAACATTTATTCAAATTTAAGGTTAAAATTGAGAGGAAAAAAAAAACGTTAAAAAAGAAGAAAAAAAATGAAAGGGTAATGAGTAAATGACCTGAATTTGTTTGTATTCGAACAATTTTCGGAAAAAAACACATGGGAGACATCCTTTTTTGTTGGCCCTTCGAACAGCTTCTTGCATGCAATCAAGCAGGCGTCCATACGTTATTTCTCCAAATCTCTTCACGAAATCAATAAGAATGAATGTCAGTGCTCCGTTCATCGTCTTCCCTGATAATATCTGCATATAATTTCCAACAATCGTCAAACAACCCTAAACTTTCTCGAGCAAATTAGTTTTTTTTTTTATCGTTCTTAAGTTCTTCTCATTTTGGTGTATAAAGTTCTCAGTTTGTTCTATTTTGATCTCTCAACTTCTAAAATATCGGTTCAGGGTCCAACATCATCACTGACACTTGTTCCTTTCTCCAAAGGATGTGGGACCCCCCAATCCACCCCTCTTCGGGACCCAACATCCATACTGGCACACCACCTATCCTCACGACACTCGTTCCCTTCTCTAATAAATGTGAGACTCCCTAATCCACCCCTCTTTGGGACCCAGCATCCATACTGGCACACCGCCTCGTGTTCACCTCCTTCGGGGCTCAGCCTTTTCGTTGACACATCGCTCGGTGTCATACTCTGATACCATTTGTAACAACTCAAGCCCACCAGATATTGTCATGTTTAAGTTTTCCCTTTTAGGCTTCCCCTCAGACGTTTTTAAAACGTCTACTAGGGAGAGAGTTTCACACCCATACAAAAAATGTTTAGTTCTCTTCCTCAACCGATTGGAATTTCACAAAAATGTAACTTTTAAAATTAAAAATAAATCCCCATCGACACGTTTGCACCGTTCAACCAATCTAGTTTTCATTCATCCGAAACCATCCCAACGGGAACGGTATGGGTTAAGTTGGATTGGTCGTACTAAAAAAGGAAGATAATAGAGAATATTATGTGGATGCTTACAGAAGTATCAGCAGCAAATTCATCATCTCCACAAGCACTCAAACAAATCGCCAATCCACCACTCGTCGCCTTCCACGCTCCCGACGGCGGCCTGTTGTCCACCCACTCATCCCTAAAACCCCATATTCCAATATCAAAATCAAACCCAAATTCAAATTCAAATGAAATAACCGAACCTGTTGCGGTCATAAACATAGGCGAGATCGAGCATTGTGGCGCTGTGGCAGGCGTCGACGATGCTGTGGAGGTTCACGCCGGCCTTCAGAGGGGAAACAATGGTGGCGTTGATCTCGTTGTCGCTTATCATCCCTTCCTCCATGAAGTCCACTGGGCATATCGTCTCGTCGAAGCCGTCGAGCTCGTCCATCGCGAAATCCGGCTGCCGTAATCCATGGCCGGAGAAGTAGAACACCAGGCTTTCGCCTCCCCTGCAACCTTCAACTAGCCATTTTAGTCCGCTTTGGATGTTCTTCTTTGTTGGTACTCGCTCCGGGTTTGTTTCGTACTCTGCTCCAGTTCCAACCATAAATATTTTAGATGAGGTGGTTCGAATTGTTCTAGTCATCAATTCATTTTTTTTGTCCCTTAGAATGTATATTTATTTTATTTTCAAACATCTGATTAATATTTGTTCTATTTGGTTTTTAAAATTACATCTGTCGTTCGTTCTCCTCTCTAACCAATTTGGATCTCATAATCCACTCCATCCAGGCCAACGTCTTTGCCGATACTCGTTCCTCTCTCCAACCGATGTGGATCTTACAATCTACCCCTTTTGGAGCTCAGCGTCTTCGCTGTCCCTCATTCTCCTCTCCAATTAACGTAGGATCTCACAATCCACCTCTTTCAGGGCTCAGCATCTTTGCTAACACTATTTTCCTCTCCAACTAACGTAAGATCTCACAATCCACTCCTTTCGGGGCCCAGCATCCTCGTTGACACTCGTTTCTCTCTCCAATCGATGTGGGATCTCACAATCCACCCTTTCGAGGCCCAACGTCCTCGTTGACACTCTCCTTCTCCAACCAATGAGAGATCTCACAATTCACCCCCCTTCAGGGTCCAACGTCTCTCGCTGACATACCGCATGGTGTTCATCCATTTTAGGATTCAACATCCTTACATTGCCTAAAACCAAACTCTAACCCCTCAAGATTTTTAAAATGCCTATGCTAAGGAGAGATTTCCCCACCTTTGTAAAGAATGATTAGTTTCCTCCCTAACTGATGTTATATATCACAACTTTTCAAATAGTTAAAAAATATTTAAAACATGCGAGAGTAAATGCTAAAAATAAAATAAATATATGTATATAATTTCATTGTAAGAAAAAATATATATTTTAAAAATAACACGTTATATTTAAATTAACCCCATCTAGGATTAGACGAACCCATGAACTAATCCAATTCATAAAATCTTGGAACTTAAAAAATATTGAAATGACAAACATATTCTTGTAGTATTAGAAATGTTCGGGTTTAGATGTTCATTATCTACATTTTTACTTGGTCAAAAGGGAACGTTAAAAGCTTTAAAGATGCTTCAAAAGAAGGCGTTCTTGTCGAATTGTCTAAAAAGAAATATGCTTATCTTGACTACGCTATTCTCGAAAGTTATCTCATACTTACTATTAATTAATAATTAACCATGAATTTATATTCGTAAATTTGGGAAGTTTATAGTTAATAATTCAACTTTGAATTTAGACCTTATAATTAGATTCCGTTTCCAAAATATTAATGTAGATTTTTAGTTATTACTTTATTCTTCGAAAACTCTTAAAAATAACTTTTAAATAAGGTAATTTCTCAAAATATATATTTAAAAATAAATAAATAAATATTTTACGAACTACTCAACGTGGGTTAGTTTCATTATTTATGTCTATAAGTTCTTATGATAATTCAATTGGATCATTATCGTACCTGTTAGACGAATACGACTCTCCACAATGGTACGATATTATCCACTTTGAGCGTAAGCTCTTATGGTTTTGCTTTGGGCTTCCTCAAAAGGCCTTGTACCAATGGAGTTAGTATTCCTCACTTATGAACCCACGATCATTTCCTAAATTAGCGGATGTGGGACTTCCATCATCAAACAGTACCAACCCACATCATTTTTTTAAAAAATTATTCCTTAAAAACCCCGAAAAAAACAAAAAATAGCAACAAAAATTGTCACAAAAATAAATGATCATAAATTTAGAAGGCAGAGATGACATAACCTGTGAGAGTACGAATGTTATGTTTGGAATATCCAAAATGATTGATCAACAAATCTTGCATATTCCAAACATCATTCAATGTCCCAAGTAGCCTATGTTTCCAGTTCTTGTAACTCACCCCACAGAGGAGAGCTCGCTTTCTCGGCCGCCCGTCCAAGGCAGCGGAGGAGAGGCTTTTCATCGGCCGCGGTGGCAGCCCGAGAGCCCTTTCAGCTCTCGGTTCATCTTTTCGACTCGTGTTTTGTCTTGTTTGCAACGTCCGGGCAACGGAGGAGGAGGAGTGGTTCTTGATCTTGGAACAACAACGTTCACTTTTGGTATCCATTTTTGTGCCATTCCTTAAGCCAAAAGAGTGAAAATTGGGAATATATAAAAGCCTTGGATGGAATAAATTCAAGAAGAAGAATATGTAAAATAACAAAAGCTTAGATTTTCTTTTGATTATTCTTCGACTTTATTGGTTTATATTTCGATTTGATTCTTAAACTCTTCGAATTTGCGTTGTATTTTAGCATTGGTCGAACTTTTACATAAAATATTAAATTTTATTAATGCACGAACTTAAAAAAGTTTTAATAAACGTTTAGCTCTAGGGGTGTTTTTTTCTTCATTCACACGAGAATGTTTGATATTTTCTCTAAAATTTACTCGGTAAACTAAGAAAACGCGTGAGGTGGAGTGGAGGATTATATTAATATGATGTTTGAAATTGGATAATATCGTGTTTATGAAATTTTAAAAGTAACCTTAACTTTTAACCTTTATAAAAAAAAGTTCTTATATTAATACGATGTTTTAATTTTTTTTCTAAAATTTCAAGAGTATTAATATTACTCTGAAAAGTTCATAGATATTTTTGAAATATGATATTAATGATATTTTTGAAATTTCATGAGTATTAATGTTACATTTGAAAGTTTGCATATTAATAATAAATGTATTTTTTTAGTTTTTCTTTTAAAATTTAAAAGTGTTTGAAAGTTATTAAGAAAATTTAAAGGTATTTTTGACGTTTTAAAAAAAATGTAAAAGATATTAACGAAACTTACAAACAAAATATTATTAATGGTATTTTTCTTACATTTTCTGCGATGTCCATATTGGTTGGGGGGACAACCCATTTATAAGGGCGTGAAAATCTTAGTAGACGTATTTTAAAGCCTTGAAGGGAAGACAGAAAGGGAAAGGACAAAGAGGACAATATGGTGGATCTGAGTCGTTACATTTTTAGAATCGGTATCAATTTTCTTTTAAAAAAATAATTAAAAGTTGAGGATTAAAATAAAATAATAAATATTTAGAAAGAGCTATATCTACATACCTAACTTAACAATAATTCAAATGGAATATTTTTAAGATTCCAATACATTGTTACATTGTAGGACAAAATAAACTTTATTTGGACTTTTCGCGAATAAGTTACTAATAAATTATATGTTAATAAGATTCGACATTTTGAGCGTGATGGGCACACTATGCCATTTATGAGGTATGGGGTGAAGGATAGCCTAGGAGATGACACTAGTTATGGGCTTTGGGAGGGAGGAGGGGGCGAAACCAAGTCCAGTAGCAGCATGTAGTTATCAAGATCATATGGTCGCATTCTAAGCCGTCCCTAGGTCAGGACAAGCATGCTCACAAAATTAAGGACGTGGAATTGCCATGGAAGTCCAGGGAACCTTGGAGTCGAGTGTAGCAAAAAAAATGGTCAAGCTATGATCACACCTTCATCGTTTGGAGAGAGAAAGTCTAGACACGTGTTAGTAGGAACCTACCATCGAATAGGTTATCTGGATTACGAAGAGTAGGACTCTAGTTCCATACACTAATGCGATTGACATACTTGCGAAACATGCTCAGATAGAGGCAAAACCTTTAGATAACATGATTCAAAAAACTACCTCAATAGTGGTAGTGTTCGTAGTTAACAAACAGGTAAGGCCCGATGGGGACATGGTATGTTGAAGGGGAAACATGGACAAAAGATATTGCTCTAACCTATAGAGGAAGCATCGCCACAACTTAAGAAAGGCTAGTCACAACACAAAAGCTTTAAGTGAGTTCCCTAAGATCTTGTACAAGAACTTAAGAGATGTACATGCTCGAAAGTGGTAGAGATCAACCATAAGAAATTTGATATGAACCACGACCAAGAAATTTTCATACCTCAAGGTCCAATTACAAGGATGAGAGCCAAGAAGCTACAACAAACCTTATACAGTTATATTCAACCTATGGTGAGCTCATCAAAGGAAATTCTAGAAGACGTTGGAGACCTCCCTTATATGTTGTGCAAAGTTGAGGTTCAATAAAGAGATGAATTAAATGCACTTTAAGTTGCATTTAATGAACTCTGTTGAATTTATGAAACTAGTCCAAAGATGAGTCAATAAGCATTTTATTAATTGCATCATTTAATTTTTAACTATTTGTTTGTCATATTTAAGCTAGTTTTGAATATAGGAGTTATTTATATTGTAACCCGTTACTATATTCCACCATTAACTAGCCATTTTAATATGGGGTTATGGGTATTTCTCATTTACTAGCCCATTTAATTTAGAGTCATGTATCACATAGGTTAAGGTGGTAAAGGCTATATAAAGCCTTCTTTTCTTTGATTAGACATCAGATTTCGGAATTAAGAATAGAATTTCTATTTTAGCTTTATTGAGAGCTAAATTTTCTTTGCAAATTGTGTGTTTAGAACTTGTACGTAGAGTCATTCAAGTGGTATTGATCAAACCTCTTGAGGAGTGATTCGAATCACGAGTTTAGAAATGAGTTTTCTTAATCTTGATCTTGATCATCAACGTAATCCGTTCCATACTTTCCCTTGGGTTGATTTCCATATCAACATTGCAGGAGCTAACCTAGGTGAAGCCATTACGGATCATCCATCGTTTTTAGGAACTGGTCACTAACGTACTAGTTAAGTAGTCAATATTTCTATGTACCGATTATGATCGAACTAGATAAACCTGATCAAGGAAAGGTCATGAGTGAGTGATCTCGAAAATAAAACTAGTCCTTAATTTTTATTATTATTATTTTTATTGTTGCTGTATGTATGTTACATGTTATTTTTAGGTAAAGACAAAAAATAGTGTGAAAGTGACGAATAGGGTCGAGAAAAACAACCTTTAAATGCTTCTTACTTTAATTTTTTTAAAACTCTAGTTTATGAGGATAAGGTGATTGTTAGGTGATTGTGAATTGATGGTACTTTTCGAATAAAATTTACAGTATCAGTCTGCTTTATAAACACATGTCTTTTCGAAGGATCTTGGGTATTTTAAGCACGTTTTTTCTAATATCTAATGCAATTTTTCTCGTTTTTTAATTACAAAAGTCTTGCTTTTAAGTAACAATCTTGATTGGTATAGGTGCAAAAAGTTATGTCATTACAATATTAAACTAAAATAGAATAAGTAAATATAAATAGTATTTTAACTTTTGATATTCTATACTTGAATAAATGCTCCTATTTTTCAATTTTCAATAATATAAAACTAATATAATTTGGTCAAACATTCGTAAGGAATGAGAGAGGATTTTGCGACATTAATGAGAGACAAAGATCTATGTAGTTGTCTTTATTTGACTAAGCTATAAAGTAGTAACGAAGAATACGATGCTTGATTCGTTGCTTGGTGTTTTTGAAATTGAAATATTAGCTTAGATTTGATGCTACAAACACTTGATTCCCACTCCACCAATTAGTTCATTATCACTTTATTTGTAGATATCAATTTAAGCTCAAAATCTTGCATTATTATCTAAGAGTTTAAGTTCTCGAATGAAGTTTCCTTTTGTGAGTATACGTTGTGTAGGTATGAAAATTCTTGTAAAACTGCATGCACAAGATTTAGAATTTGGATTTAGAATTTGATAGCTCAACATTTCCTTATTTTCATTGCGATATAGTTACAATTAAGACTATTCTCACAAACCAACAAGGATCTTTTCAGTAAATGATCTAGTCACGTTACTTATTTTTCGATTCTAAGAGTGAAAACTATTCCTACAAACAAACATGATTTCTTTTAGTATGGTTTGTCCTCACTCATATGTTTCATAGGAAAATTTTTAAGATGTCACTTATCATAGAATTACTTAAAGCAAAACGCACTTAATTTTGAAGTTCTTGTGATTGAGTCATTGAAAAGGAAGATGTATTTTATTGGTATAGATAGTAACTTTTAGTTCTTTTAAGTTTTTCTTAGTCATCAAGTCATCAAAATTGCTCTCATCTAGATGTGGTCTCGATTCATTCATGTTCTTCTCTTTTATTTAGGTATCACAATTTCCTCTACTATCGATTACATATCTACAAAGAAGAAAAGAGTAAGAAAAATTGGTGTTGGATTGAGTTGAGAAAACTATAGTTGTCAAGTTAGCAATATGAAGTTAGAGTGTTCGAGATAGTGTCCATTAAAACTCCTTATTTAGATGAAGTTAGCAATATGAAGTTAAAAGTTGAAAGAAAAATATCAAACACAACGATTCCAGATTTATATAGTATGGGAAAAATGAGAATGAAAGTTTATTTAATCTTCAAATATACGTACGTGTAAATGGTTTAACGATAGGGATTTATAAACACAATATTAAAACCAATATGATAAGAATTTTTTTTTAGATCTAAATATGATCCTTAGGAAGAAAATAGAACAAAGTAAAGAGATATCAAGAATGGTGGGAATGATGACAACAAAATAAATTGACAAATTTGGAAAAAGATAAGCAAATAGGATAAATGAAAGATAAAATCAATTCTAGAGTAGGCCACAAGGATGCAACCTAGATTTTTATACCAAATTGATAAGACAATCCTAATTATCAGCCTAACCATCTAAGCTCTTTCTTGAAGCAAGAACCCTTTAATAAAAAAAAATTAACATTTTCTTATACAAAATTCGGATCAACAAAGAGATAATGCTAGAATTAGATTACCTCTTACGACCGAAGATCTAGGAGCAAGATTTGGAAATTTTGTTCTAAATTGAGTCACTCCACAATCGAACTTGATCAATGCTTGATTGAATGACTTAATGCAATCTACCACATGAATTGCATAAAGTAAAATAAAATCAATTCTAGACTTGGCTACAACTATGCAACCTAAGCTTTTATACCAAATTGATAAGAACCCTAATCCTCAGCCCAACAATCCAAACTTTTTGTTGAAGCAAGAACCCTTGAATCAGAGAAATTAACACTTTTTTATACAAAATTCGGATCAGCCAAGAGATAATGTTAGAATTAGAGGTACAAGAACCCTTGACTCATAGAAATTAACACTTTTTTTATATAAAATTTGGAT